TCCGAAATTTAAGGGAAAGCTCGCTATACATAGAAACGAAACTAGCAAATTAAGCTTTTCAAACATACCGAAAGGCAATTTTCAGTTTTGGTCCGTTAATCAGGGGAAATTACAGTTAAAATGAAAGAATGACACTTATTGTGCTAGCACACATAAAGATACAATAGTTTATATTAAATTTTATTAAGAAGGTAATTGTCATTTAAAAATTTTTGAAATAAAAACAGGAAAGAGAAAATAGGAAAAGTAAAAATACCTTCAAATACAGAAATATGCAACCAACAGTTGCCCTTAGAGCGAATAAGTTGCTTGCTTCAGAAATGAAGGCGCTTCGACGATGCTTAGGAATCTAGGGTACCGACGCCACGCTTTATCCCGCACCGTTCTGAGAGAGGTAAAGCAATTCAGTAACAAATATTTCGTTCCGTATTTTTTTAATAACGAATTCTTCAAAAGTTTTAAATTAGCTCATTGCATGATTAGCGCATTGCAGTCACTTTTTTAAACGACAAAATCGTTGAAGCAGCAATATAATTTTTTCCATGGTGTGAAATTAACGCGCGCGCGCCAAGGAGTAGTTTCGCATTGGCTGGATTTCCGTGATTTTCGGGGCGCGATCTTACGTCTAGGCTAGTCGCCCTTTGGATCCTTGGATCTTCCAGATAGATGCGACTACAGTAAAATGTCGTCGTGTAGCTCTCAAGATTGCCGAGTTGCTTTAGGCAACCACCTTAACTAGATGAAATTTGACAACTCTCAAAAGTACATACGGGCGTTTTTACTTAGCACAGGTACAATTTTCTTGACTTTGGGGGAAAACGAATTCATAGTTTAAAAATCACAAATGCTTCGAAATATGGTACCATGGGTGTCTACCGGTGCTCTGAATTAAAAATTCCTTGCTTTTTCAGCACATTTTCTTTGCTATTTCCTTTCTTTCCCGAAAATTAATTTTTTTGGCGATTCTTAAAAATCCTAGCTTTTTCCTCACCTAGTCCTTATTTTCTCCTCATCTCACGAGCATATTTAACTGAATTTGGATTGGGGAAGTGGAGTCATGGAATCACCAAGGAATAAACCAAGAAACACGAGAAATCGAACCAGGAACTTGAGAAATGGAAATCGAATTCCCCCAAGGCTACATTATAGAATCAATGACGAAAATCTCGAATTTCCGTACCTTTTCCGTACTTTCGTACCGACCCGCCTAAATCCGTGTTTTTCTAGTGTATCCGTACTTTTTCCGCACTGTAGACACGCTCGGTGCGTACACTGAAAAAAGTAGGGTGTCGACTTAACACAGAGTTGTGTTCGTTTGACACAAATGTTGGATTGGTCATTTCTACAGAACCCAACGTAGTTTTGAATCAAGAAAATAGTAGTGTTACATCAAGTAAACAGGTTGTCACCACTTAACACCCTGAGTTGGGTCAAGTCAAAGTAAGTAGTTGTGTTAGATCAGCACAGACTACACCGGAAAAAAGTAGCTTGAAGCAAAAGTGAAAAGTTACACGATTAAATACGAAAGTAATGGTTTTAGTGCCGAGGCATGCTATCGCCACGTAAGCTATCTTAAATCTATACGCAATGGAGATGTTGCATGTGTGAGGAATTTGCGATTTGACTGCTGTTCCTTATGTAAAAGTTGGCGAGAAACACGATGGTGCCACTGGTTTTCTCTGAATTCAACTCCCAAGCTCAAAAAAAGCTCTCAAGTTGAGGCCAACATGGAGGGGATATCCCGCCCTACCCTGAGAGTCCACCTCTACATCAAGACAAACTCTCCAGGCAAAGATAGGAAGCAAATACATTAACAGGGTTGCCGTGTTTTCAGTTTTGGAGTCCCCAAATGAAGTGGCAGCCCTGTCAATGTATTTGCTCCCTATCTTTGCATGGAGAGTTTGTCTTGATGTAGAGGTGGACTCTCAGGATACCGTGGGATATCCCCTCCATGTTGGCCTCAACTTGAGAGCTTTTTTTGAGCTTGGGAGTTGAATTCAGAGAAAACCAGTGGCATCATCTTGTTTCTCGCAAACTTTTACACAAGAATCAACAGTCAAATCGCAAATCCCTCACACATGCAACATCTCCATTCTTCGCACCGCGGTCATTCCCAAACGGTCTCCCATCTAAGTATAAACTTCGGCCGACGTTGCTTAACCCCGTGATCGCCCAAGTGCCGCTGCAGTGGAGTTCCGGAAGCTCCCTTGATACGAGAGGGTAACATAGATCTACACACCGTCGAAGAGTGAAACGCCCTGTACGCAGCGGCGTATTCTGCGTTCTCTCTCCGGAGCACGAGTGAGGGGGAGACATAACTCAATGGTGGAGGAGGGAGTTTTGGCACTTAATTAGCCATTCCTCGGGCCAAGTTTCCGGAGAGACAGGGCTCAACCGCCAAGAAACACGAACACGGGGGAGGAAAGTTCACTCTCCTGGACCGGAAGCGCGCCTGCCAGGAGGGGATGGGGGTTGCCGGGAAGCGGCCGGAGGTGGGGCCTGGAAAAGTGCGGCGTGTGGACCGCTAAACTGCCGCGCTAAGGAAAAACGCCGTAAGAACCTTCGTCAGTTGCGGAGTTTACTCTACTTAAATACGAATTTTCAAAAAACCTCGGGAACATTTTCTATTCAATTTTTCAGAGAGTTTTTTTTTGTGATGGGGATGTTGCATGTGTGAGGAATTAGCGATTTGACTGTTGATTCTCATGTAAAAGTTTGCGAGAGACACGATGGTGCCACTGGTTTTCTCTGAAATCATCTCCCAAGCTCATAAAAAACTCTCAAGTTGAGGCCAAAATGGAAGGGATATCCCACGCTATCCTGAGAGTCTACCTCTACATCAAGACAAACTCTACATGCAAAGATAGGGAGCAAATACATTAGCAGGGTTGCCACTTTATTTGGGGACTCCCAGAAGGACTCCAAAACTGAAAACACGGCATCCCTGCTAATGTATTTGCTCCCTATATTTGCATGGAGAGTTTGTTTTGATGTAGAGGTGGACTCTCAGGGTAGGGTGGGAAATCCCCTCCATTTTAGCCTCACTTTGAGAGCTTTTTTGAGCTTGTGAGATGATTTCAGGGAAAACTAGTGGCACCATCGTGTTTCTGGCGAACTTTTACATAAGGATCATTAGTCAAATCGCAAATTCCTCACACATGCAACATCTCCATTGGATCTAAATTATCCGAATATTTCAGGAGCAAATGTTCACTCACTCTCCTCAAAAATACATTTTTCATACGCGGAGATTTGGCAACTCTCGAATGTTCATATGCTGTTTTTCCTTAGCCCGGCAGTGAAGCTTCTTCGTGCTGGAAGCTTGGAGCCTAGAGACAGCTGAGGACCTAGTTAAGATTTCGGAGAGAGCGAACGGTATAACTTGATAACCCTCAACTCGACCCAGCAACCCGCATCTTGAAGGTGTTGCACGCAGGACCCGAACGCAGTTTGTCGAGTGCTAATCGAACTTAATTCATCACTACCAGTTGCCAATTTTCTAATCTCTTTGTTATAAGGCAACAATGTAGGAATTGAGGTTCGGAACCTATAACTTAAATTTATTGTCGACGATTGTTAGGAAACCGCAAAATACTCTCCAGCCCTTACCGAGAACCATATCTGGACTTTAAATTTCAATCCCTCAAAGAAAAGGATTTCACGAGTTTTAATCATACATGTATAGCATGGTATTGTTTTTGAAGAGCTGCAGAACAAAAATTAAAAAGCTAGGGGTAGCTAGGGCTACAAACTTTTAAGTTGAGTCTTTGAGACGGGAAACTCAATTCAAAACTCATAATTTTTTTACCCTTAATGAAAAAATCGGTTTCTGAAAAATATGTTTCGTTCACTAACGTCCACCGTGGACGGTCACACATCGATGATGAAATTTACAAGATATGCAACTTCATTTCCGACTGCGCAGACTTTTTTTCGGCTTCCTTTTTTCAAAAGATAACCAAAAGCGATACACCTCTTCATCCAGAGCAGGCTATTTTACAAAAATGTCGAAAATATACGTTTAGGGGCCTCAAGTATTACGTGAGGCATTTTGCCAACTTTATGACACCCCTCCCCCTACCACCTGCGAGGCACCCGTAAGAAATCTCTGACCCCCC